AAACGTCCGTGTACCCATTCGCACATTCCGTTTCATCTCCTTTTTCCACGACTCGTGAGCTGCCAAGTGCTCCTTACTCTCACCTCGCCTTACTGCTTTATCTCTGTCGCACCCACCCTCCATCTTTCCCTAAACCATCTGGTCACCTTAAACCCTCAAACGTTTGCGCCTTCCATCGTCAAATTCTTTCACATACATTTATTTTTTATTTTTCTCTCTCTTTTTCTTTTTCAAGGAAAATTAATCTTTTTGGTTTTCATTTATGGGGAAAAGAAAGAGGAGGTCCGATAACAAGAAAACACCACCACCTCCAGGTAGATTCCTTTTATGTTTTGTTCTGATCATGGATGATTTCTTTGGATTTTCTTTGATTACCTTTTTGCAGTTTATACAATTTTAATAATCGGTTCATGGTGTGTGGATTTTTTTTTTCTTTTTAATAATGATGGGTCTTTGAGCGATCTATTTCTTGATCTCGCTTGGGATTTCCGATTCTGTAATGTGGGTGGCAATTTTGTTTGAAACTACAATTTTGATAAGTGATCATTCATAAATTTTCTTATTTCATTATTTCTGAGTTTTCATTTCTGTTGTGATATTTTTTATTTGTGGTGATAATGTGTTGGATACTATGCATAGAAGCCGAAGCTCTTTTTTGTTGTCTGGTATGTTTGGTTAGACTTAAGTGAAATTAAGTGAGATGCATGAATGTAAAGGGTGCTTAGTTGTGTATTAGGCTTTTGTAGTAAATGACTTCAATTTTTGAAGTTATCTTTCCTTGTTTGTAGTATTCAGCGTGTTGATAGTCCATTTTCGATTTCTTGAGGATTGCCTGAACTACTTGCAATTCTTGTACAAGGTTTAAAGACAGTGAAAATAGGGAATGCTTGAGAATCTATATTTCATATTTAAAAATTGTTAAAGAGATAGCATTTTGTCATGCATAATACTTCAGATAGCCTTGCTAACTATCTTTGAATTGTTTTACTGTATGGACCCTTTTTTTTTCTTGTGAATGTTGACAGAACTTTTGGCATACTAGCATTACAAAATATGTTTGTTATATTTGTAAATGGAGAAATATCTGACTTTTTGTTCTCAGGATTCTTGCTTTTGGGTGGAAGTAGGTGTCTTTGTAATTTTTATGTCTTTGCTTCTATGAGAAGAGCTAAAATCGAAACACACTTTACATAAGAATACAAGCTAAATATAATGGATCATACCAATGCCCTGGGGAATCCATAGAAATGTTGTGCATGGTAACAAATTTAAGAAAATAAGTAAAAGACAAATTGATGGTCCTACCCATATGGAAGTCCTTTTGTCAAACCAACACAACGAACGTTTGACTTTAACATATCTATTTGGGGTTCCTGGATCGGTTTACTTTTTTGCCTAATGGTATGGTTTGTGTTTCATGTTTGAAAGTTTTGTTTTGATCTCTTTACTCAGATGAATAAATAGAAAGAAAAAATACCAATACCATTTATGTTAAACTTTTTTCTATTTCTTCTTTTTATAAACTACNTCAAGGTAAGCCTAGTATATTTTGAGCTGATCTCTCTCTTTTTTTTTTTGTTTTATTCAGAATTATGAAATTGAATTATTGATTTCTCATGTTCGCGTTTAAACTATTGCCTAGCAGCTCTCTGGCGTTCCTACTAATAAGTCACTCAATATTATAAATTACGGAGTGGAGATTCTTACAACAAGGATAGTTGTTGGTTAAGTTCGCATTCTAAACAAGGGGCCAAGTTACCAATATATTTTGTGACGTAATTTTGGTCAAGAACTAATTACCAATTGCACGATTAGCTCCAATGCATTCTACCCTTTGAGTGAGTTAATCACGAATATGCGTACCTTGTCTTCATCATTGGGATTTGTTATCCAAGAGAATACATTGATGAATGTAGTTGGAAGCTTCCTCGATTTACTGATATGTCGTAATTGGGGGAGGTTGTTGTGTCAAACAGATACATGGCCACCACTATAGGGGTTCTAATGAAAAATATTTGAAAGTTTGAAAACCCAGTCTTTCTTATTTTAGTTGATTGAATTGTGTTTTCCTTCTTTTTTGTATGGGACTGAATTTTTCTTATGCAATCTGACCT